TCCCGCAGGAAGCCGTGCTCGCCGAGTTGCTGCAGGACATGCCGGCGGAGGTGTGTTTCACTTCGTTCATGCACATCTACGACAGGTGCCGCTTTCGCGTGAACCTCGAGTCCCGGAAGCGCGCAGGCTTCTCTGAGGACACCGTGGAGGAGATCGCGAGCCTTTGGAGCTGCGACAGGAACCTGGCAAAGCCGACCACCGTCGGCGAGCTCATCTGGATGTTCACCGACTCGCACAAGGTTGTTTTTCTTATTCCGTGTTTTGCCGATCGGCGCGGGCCCCCTCCACCCCCTCCCCCCCGCAATGGAGTAGGGCTTGACTGTTTTGGGCGCCTGTTTCAGGCAGGTGGAGTCTCCCCGATGGTACGCACTGTTGCAAACAGTCGCGTTAAGCAGAGGTCCGGAGCCATACCCCCCTCCCCCTCCTCCTCCTCTTCCTCCTCCTCCTCCTCCTCCTCCTCCTTCTCCCCCTCCTCCTCCTCCTCCTCCTCCTCCTCCTCCTCCTCGTCCTCCTCCTCATCCTCCTCCTCCTCCTCCTCCCTCCTCCTCCTCTCCTCTTCTCCTCCTCTCCTCCTCCTTCCTCCTCCTCCTCCTTCTCCTCCTCCTATTCCTCCTCCTCCTCCTCCTCCTCCTCCTCCTCCTCCTCCTCCTCCTCCTCCTCCTCCCCTTCCGCCCAATGTGGAAACGCCGAACGAGAGAACGCTCACGAGGTCCCCGTGCACACGAGCGAGGGACGGCACCAGCTGCTCCGCCGCGTGCAGGCCGCGCGGGGGGCCGCTCTCGAGGCGGGGGTCCCGCCGGAAGAGCTCGAGAACGAGGAGGATCGGGGCTCATGAGACGAGGAGGAGGAGGAGGAGGAGGAGGAGGAGGAGAAGGAGGAGGAGGAGGAAGAGGAGCAGGAGGAGGAGGAGGAGGAGGAGGAGCGGGAGCGAGGAGGACGAGGAGGATCGAGGATCGGGGGTCAGTCAGAGCATTGGATCTTGCAGGATCCTGCAGAGCCAGGGGTGCACTGACCCGGGCTCGGGTGCAGGAGCCTACAGGAGCTTGCAGGATCTTGCACCCGAGAGCCACCCGAGAGCCACCCGAGAGGAGCCGCTCGGGAGCGCATCCGCCGTCGGGTTCTACACGCTGGTGCACCTCATCCGCAGCTTCGTGAGGGACGCGGAGCAGGAGGTCCCAGGAGGGGAAAGAGCACACAGGCACAATGAGACGTCGATTCCCGGGGAGAAGTGGGAAACCAGGGGAAGTGGGGGGGGGAGGACGACGAAAACCCAGAAGATCTGGGACACCCTGGGATCTGTGTCTATCTGGGCCCCTTTGAGGTCATCGACCGCGAGAGGGAAGCGGTGTCCGTCGCACGCTTCCCGCATAGCGAGGCTGCCGAGTTCCGCCGCGTGTTCTCCGACCTCGCCGAGCGGGAAGCCAGGAGGTCGTCGACCTGCGGCCAGCCTGCGGCCGGCGGAGGGCAGCGAGTGGACCAGCTCCTCACGTTGCTCACGAGGGTGCCCGCCATACCACTGTCGGCCCTGCCGCTCTTGCTGAAGTCCATTGGGCTCCACGTCCCCAGCAGCAGGCTGAAGGACCTGAAGCGGTTCCTGGCGCAGGCCAGGAGCCGCGTCGAGGCAGACGAGGGGACGATCCGGTTTGCCACTTTCCTGAGGATGATGCGATGGATGCTCGACACGGACTTTGCGGACATCTGCAGCGTCATGAATTTCCGCAGAGTGTGACCGTGCCGGGGACGCTAGACTTCTCCGTCCTCGTACTGGAGCGGGGCCTCTCTTGAGGGCGGATGGTTGCCAGGGCAGCCCGAATAGGGACGCCGCACGAGGCACACACCTGAACGCTCTGTACTGGCACGCGGCGCCCCCTGAGCCGGCATGCTTGTTTTTTTTTCTCTGCGTTGTTTTTGCTTGCCTGGGCGGCTCCTTGAATCAATGGCTTGGTTAGCATGTGCAAGTTCTTACTCCAAGCTCATCTGGATGATCCTGGACGGCAGCACTGCTTCAACTTCGCGAGTTGGTGACGGATGATGATGTCGCTGCAGGGGACCATCGCTGAATGCGATGTTATTTCCTCTATGTGTGTTAGGTGCTTGCCTGATTGATTGTGTTGCGTCTCCACCTACAGCGCAGAACTGCTTCCACTCTCCTCCTTCCTCGTCGTCGTCGTCGTCCACCTCCTGTTAGGCCAGTTGTAGCATGTAGGAGTCCGGCGCCCCCTTCCCATCAGTTGGGAAGCTGGCAGATTTCATGGCCGAAGCTGTCCAGGACGCGCGGTCACCCCTTCTGCAGCAGACGGGTCCAAATCGCACGTTGGTCCCTCAATCGTGGGCACGTCGTGTTCTCGGGCTATATTTTGTTCCTTAGGCTTTGTACGCGTGCTTCGCCCTTGGGAGGCCGCACGCGTATCCCCATCGTTTTTGTTTGTCCGTTGCTTCCATGCAGACGGGGCAGGCGGCGAGTCTGCCAGGACCTGCGGCAGGTGCCGCCATTGCTGAGAATATCAGTTTTCGAGATCGCCTGCGGCACATCAACGGCCGCTCTCTGGGAGTTTGACGCATCTGGCCGGTAGTCTCTTGGAGGCAGTTTTGAAGCCTCTATGGGGGTTCTGTTGGGCGCCGTTTGGGGGCCTCTTGGGGGCCTCTGTTGGGCCTCTCGGGTGCTTCGAGGAGGCCTGCTGGCGGTCTGGGAGGTTCCGTTTGAGCAGAAAGCTGGACATGTAATTTCGAGTTCTGATTCCAGGGCCTTCTTGGGGCCGTCATAGGCCGTCTTCGGCGCGTCTTGGGCCGTCTTGGGGCCGTCTTGGCACGTCTTGGGGCCCTCTTCGGGGTCTCTGGGGCGATCTTGGAGCGATCGTTGGGGCTTGTAGGCTTGTCGTGGATGCTCAGAATCCCAAAAGTCGCACATGCTCAAAAATATACGCTTTCCCATGGGAATGGGACGATTTTTGCCTTACGGGGCCTTCTTGGAAGGCCTCTTGAAGCCCTCTTGGGGCGTCTTGGGGGCCTCGTGGACCGTCTTAAGGCCATCTTTGGCGTCTTGGGGCGGTCTGTCGGCGACGTGGAGCCTTCTTGGACCTATTTGGGAGCCGTCTTGGGGCTCTTTGGGGTCGTCTTGGGGCCCTTGGGATTTCTTGAAAGCTTCGAGTCGGAAGGGTCTGCGAGGGACCCCCGACAGAGTGGAGGCCCAGAGGAGGGATTTCAGTGAGACTGTTGCCAGGCACTTTGCAGAGTGGTCTCGCATGGCCCAATCCGCAGGGCGGAAGCGGCCGGATCTGCAGGGCTGTGCCCCCAAGGCTGAGAAGACATGTTGTGGACCCCACTTGCTTTGCGGATTGCGCTGCAGGAGAGCGTCAAGTCCGACCGCTCGCCACCCCTCCTCCGGTTCCTCTCCCGTTCGTCGCCGTTTCCGTCTGGGAGGTTCTCTGGGCCCTCTTGAGCGCCCTCTTGGGCCGTCTTAGAGCCACGCTGGGCTGTCTTGGGTTTGTCTTGGAGGCCTATTCGGCAAGCTTGGGGCCCCGTCGGGGTTCTCTGGGGGGACTCTTGGGTGGTCATGGGGCCATGTTGGAGGCACCTTGGGCCGTCCTGGCCGTCTTGGGCTTCGGATAGCCGTCTGGCGAGAACGCGAAACTCTGCCATACAAGAGACATCAGTGCGTTCTGCTTCTGGAGGCCCTCTTTGGAGCCCTGTGGAGGCCCTCTTGGAGCGTCTTGGGGGCCTCTCTGGCCGCATTCTGGTCATCTTGGGGCGTCGAGCCCCCCCTAGCAGGCAGTAGAACTGGAAAGCCAAGAGACACAAAGGAAAGACCACGCAAAGAGCACTTGAAAGTACAATCAACCCGCATGGTAAGGATGGGCACCCTTCGCAAGAGTACCCTGGCATCCTTGCCCCTTCGGCCCATCCTTAGCGGCTTTCGCTGGCCAACCTCGTTCGACTAACGTTCATATGGGCCTCCATGGCCCTTGCATCCTTACCGCGCATCCTTATGATACGGGTTGACTGTAGTTCAGCAGCCCCCCGCACAGCCTTGCGCCCCTAGAGGAGGGTGGCGGACATGGCACCCAGTGTTACAGTTGGGTTCGCCCGCTTTGTTTGTTTTTCGGGCAGCGGTGTTGCCCTGCACCCCTCGATCACTGTGGCTTCGTCCAGCGAGCAACCGTGGTTGTTGTACAGAGTGGTGTTCAATCGTGTATCCGTTTTTCTACCTGCAAGCACGCGCACTGATCCTGCGGAATATGGTGGGGGCGTTCGTTGAGGAATGTGCCGAGGAGGTTTCAGACGCTGCAGGTTTCCCCTTACCTGATGGGGCCGGCGGTGGTATCCGTGGCCAGGAGACAAGTGGTGTCCCACCCGCCTTCAGACCCGGGATTCTTTATCCAAGGGTTCCTCATCCAATGCCCTCGCCTTATTTCGGCGGCGAGCGAGGGGTGGAAAAGAGAAGGGGAAGGCCTTCTCAGAAGGCGGCGGGACTTCTCAGAAGCACTCGCGCCTTCTGAGAAGTTTCCTGTGTCCTCGGGGAAGGCTTAGAGATCTTCTCAGAAAGCCGGGAGCCTTCCGAGCCTTCTGAGAAGGCCCGCCCCTTCTCACTTCCCCCCCGGGCTCGCCACCGAGCACTTCAAGCTGCAACCACGCGCACGGCCCTCCGAATCACACAGGAGGACTGCCTGCGGGACAGTGGGGGTGCACGTCGCCTCTCCCTGGCAGAGGCCGGCGCGCTCTCGAGCTCGGCTCGAGCCGGCAGGCCTCCTTCCCCCTGGCAACCCCTTCAGCAGGAGTGGGCCCAGCGGGGGCGTCGGCGCCGGAGTTCGAGCAAGCAAGAGGCATGGGCACAGGCTCTCGGAGGTCCGTGCGGAGCGTTCTCGGATCGGGGCTGGGCACAAGGCGGGGTCCAGCGCCGCTCCGAGAGATCCGCGCGGGCGTCGGTGGGTTTCTGCTCATGCCGTCCGATCTTCTCCTGGAGGTGTTCTGATCTCCTCCTCTTCCTCCACAGCTTCTCCTCCACAACTTCCTGCACAATTTCCTCTTTCTCCACCACTTGTTCTTCTCCTGGAGACGTTCTGATCTCTTCCGTCGGTGGGTCTCTGCTCATGCCGTCCGGTCTTCTCCTGGAGATGTTCTGATCTCTTCCTCCTCCTCCACAGAAGTGCCAGTGCATTGTCACCATGATGTGTCCATCCGATCCTCGCCCACGGTATTCATTTCCACTGCTGCTGTGCTGCCTTCTGAACGGCCCTGTCGTTCCTGCATAATTACCGAACGTGGGTTTTGCAGAGCTTCAGGCCAACATGGCCGGGCAAGTTCAAGTTGACCCCACGATTCACAAATACTTTTATTGCTTAGCAATGTGATCTGAGAATCGGCATTCTATGTGGGCCGCCTTTCAGCAGGAGGGAGTCCAGCGGGGACGTCGGCACCAGATGTTCTGGCCTTCCCTTCTTCCTCCGCCTCCTCATCATCCATTGAAGTCCCCTTGTCGTGGTGAGGCGTCCGTCCTATCCTTACTTAACTCCCAACGTACTGTTACTCTACATGTGCAGTTTGCTCTGAGCATCGGCATTGTACACCTGGCAGTTGGGCTTCTACAGCAAGCGGCTACACTTGATTGATTCTGCCAACCTGTTCGCAATCAGTGTTATTTCATGTGTAGCTTGTGCTTGAAAATTGCCGCATGCCGCAAAAAAGACTCCATCCGGGTTGCAGCGTCTACGCAGGATCAAACAAGCATCAATGTGTTTGGTCGGCCGCGCATGCGTGACGTACATCTTTCCTTCCGTCATTACCGCGGTTGCTTGCCATGTTGCCGTGCCTCCGCGGGGTAGACGTGCCCCGTGGAATCGTAATGTGGAAGTTCCTCTGGGGAAAGGAATCTCTTTGGTGACCTGCCCAGTGGAGTTGTCTCGCCATGTGGACTCTGCGTAAGTGAACTGCCATGTTGATTTGTCATGTTGGCTTACCCCTGCGGAGTTCAGTTCCCAGCGGGGCAGCCTGCGTAAAGTTGACGTTCTTTGGTCTGTTGACCACTTTACGCGTCGGGTGTACCATCCACCGCAGAGTGCCACCCACACGCGTCGCCAGATTTCTCCGCTCAGGCTACGGAGGCGATGCGCGATCGACATCGCTGCGACTAAACATTGTCGCCAGATGTGCACCGATCCAGTCCTGCCGACGCATTAGGGCCCAGTGTTATGTCTCCGTGTTGTTGCCTTGCTGACCACGGCCTCAAGCCTCCCGCCAAGAGCGGGATCGGGACGATGACATCCAGGAGAAAGAGAAGCAGGATTAGGAGAGGAGATGGAAACAGGAGCAACGTCCAAGAAGGAAAGACAACACACAAACACAGACTTTCGAAGATCCGCGCGAATTCTTTGGTCTTCGCTGGGCCCCTCTTGGCGGCGCCTCCAGCGCCGCCCCTGGCGCGCGGAGCGCGCTAGGAAGAGGGGCCCAGCGCCGATCCAAGAAACCCGCGCGGGCGTGCAAAAGTTTCTGGTTGAGATGGGGACAGGAGGAACAAGGACGGGGAGGGGGCGGAGGGCGAGGAGGGGGCGGAGGAGGGGGAGGAGGAGGAGGAGGAGGAGGCCGACCCCACGAGTGCACCCACTGTTGAGGTTCGCGGTTTCTTGCCACTCGACCGCTAGAGGCTGGCGTGTGCAGCGTGCCTCGTGGGCCTTCCTTCGCGGCGTGCTGCCCACACGTGCCGCCGGATTTTTGCGGAGGGCGAGGCGGCGGCGATGCAGCACGGGGTCCTCTCCGAGGCCCCGCCCGGCTCCTCACGAGCTCGCGACGTGGGGCGCCGGCAGGGACGCGCCGCTCCGCGGCGGCCCGACGCCACTCCCAGAGGCCGACCCCCGCGCCTGCGGGCCACAGGCGCCCGTCGGGCGACGACGCGGACGGCGCAGGAGAGGGGGCGACCCTTGTGATGTTCCAGCCTATTTTAACCCTGACCGCCAGAGAGAAGTTCGAGCACCAAGAATGTGCCGAACGTGGGGGGTGTTCGCGCGTCGGGCCCCGGGAGGTGACGCTCGATCGACGCTGTTTCGACACTGTCCTGGGTGCTCGAAATTATTTCTGGGATCTGTTACTCAAGTACGATGGAGCAACATAAGGTGGCCCTCACACTCGGCAACAACATCCAGACGTACCGACCGACCGCGCGCGCGGGAAGTCGACGGCCCGCTGGGCGTCGGCATGCTGCTGACAAGGGGCCTTCGGAGGGCGACTCCTCCTCTTCCTCCTCATCCTCCTCCTCCTCCTCATCCTCCTCCCTCTCCCTCTCCCTCTCCCTCTCCCTCTCCTCCTCCTCCTCCTCCTCCTCCTCCTCCTCCTCCTCCTTCTCCTGCTGACAAGGGGCCTTCGGAGGGCGAGGCCAATACATGCGATGTATTGTTTTTGTTGTTCCGACCTTCCCCATCTGCAGGGCCAGCGGTTCATCCCGAGTCATTTTCTGAGGGTCCTGGGGCCCAGCGAGGGCCCCCGGGGGCCTAAAACGTCCAACAAACGTCGGGTCTTTGTTTTTTTTTTCCGACGCGAGCATGTCTGGAGGAGGAGGAGGAGGAGGAGGAGGAGGAGGAGGAGGAGGAGGAGCGGGAGGAGGAGGAGGAGGAGGAGGAGGAGGAGGACCCGCTTGCATGTTCACATTGCTGTACATGTGTCTCACCGTTTTACCGTCCTGCATCCTGGTCCCTCTCTGGTCTGCACCCGTATTTAGCCACGAACCTGAGGCCGAATGCGCCGAGCCGAGGAGGGGTAGGAGGAGGCGGAGAGGACGAGGTGGAGGAGGAGGTTCTGGATTGCGAGGCTGATGATGTGAGGGCCTTTCAGCAAGGTGGCGGCGCTGCAACTGTCAGAATATTCAGTCAAGCGAAAAAAATCCGAGCGGGCACCAAGTACGAACGTATAGCACAGTATGACGGCGGCGGCGGCGTGAGCAATGGGTAAGTGGACGAGCGGATACATAAGGAATGAGATCAATAGTAGTGCATCGCAGGGGAGTCCTGCTGGCACCCGATGAGTCGCCTTGGCCACGCAGGCGCAAGAACCGTCGGAGAGAGGACACCTAGTCCGCTCTCTGCCAAATCGATTGTCAGCTTGGCTGGCCTGGAGGAGAAGGGAAATCTCCACGCCCACGCACAGCACAAGCGACGAGACGGAGGAGGGAACATAGCGCGGTTATGATCGTTCTGGGCACGAGGAGGGGATGGAGCCAGCGCTGCAGGCATACCTAAGACCGCAGCTCATCCTCATCATCATCCAACTCTTGCTCCCCACCCACCCACTGGAAGGAAAGAATAGGCCCACTCATGGCTGCTGCAATCGGTCCGCGGTACGCTCGGCCGTGAAAGCATTGACAAGCAGATCGTCGTGGTGCCCTGGACATCCAATAGGCCGCCGCATGGTCAGGCGATCAGTTGTCAGACTCCTTAAGGAAGCCTGTTGAGTTCACTTCCGAAAGGTCCAGAGACTATTCGGAGCCGCCCCAGTTCCCAGGCCTGGAACACCTGACGCTCCATCGATCCAACATGCAGTCCTGGAACAAGCGCGCCAGCTTCAAACCAGACGTCCAGGCGGGAAAGGCGATCGAGCCATTCCCCATAGAGCCGCTCGCGTGCACCCCCCACCTCCTGGAGGAGGAGGAGGAGGAAGAGGAGGAGGAGGAGGAGGAGGAGGAGGAGGAGGAGGAGGAGGAGCAGGAGCAGCAGCAGGAGCAGCAGCAGGAGCAGCAGCAGGAGCAGGAGCAGGAGCAGGAGCAGGAGCAGGAGGAGGAGGTGGGCCTCTCGCCTGCACCCCCCTTTCTCTGGCGCGGCAGGCGCTCGCAGGGACCGCCGAGGGCCGTCCCCGGGGATGCCGCTGGTGCGCGCGGGGCCGCCCAAGGCGCCCGGGGTGCCAGAGCGGCGGCGGGATGCGCCGCCGTCTCCGGAGGCCCCGCGTCGCTCCGCTCTTCGGGGGCGAAGTTCGGGGGCGGCAAGGAGGGGGGTGATAACTAGGGGGGGGATATCATGGCGCGGGCCATGATACCTCCCCAGATTTCGCGGCGCCTCTTCTCATTTCATTATGTCCCTGGCCCCCCCGCTGGGCCGCGCACATGCCGCCGGTCATGATTTGCACCCCCCCTCTTGGACACCCCCGTCTTGGGCGCTCCCGACTCTGGGGCGCGAAGTCATGAGGGGCGATCAACGATGGGGAAGATAGGTACCCTTCTCGGACTCTGAGGGCCCCCTCTCAAGGGCGCCCTCGAGGGCGCGAAGTTTTTCGCGCTTCGCGGTTCGGCTCCGATTCCTCCTCATCCTCCTCTTCTCCCTTGGGAGACGGCGCGAGAGCGCGAAGCTATTCGCGCAGCGCGAAGCGCGAAGTTGGGAGCCATTGTCTCTGGTCAGGCGGTCGCAAACATGGATCAAGTGGGCGTGGATTAGCGACGGGTCCCGTTTCCATGGGAAGTCGCGGAGTTCCGCCGCTGAACGGGGCGGCACTGGCCGCAGTTGGGGGAGGACACCTCCCCCCATCCATGGATTTGATTTGGCGACCGCGCGCCAAATCCATGGATCGCGAATCCATGTTTGCGCGCCCCCGCACCGCCTGATCCCGAGGCTTTGCCTCCTCCTGGCCTTGACGTGAGGCCTCTCCTTCTGTCCCCCCCTCTTTGTTAATTCAAGCTTCGCGCGGCCCGCTTAGCTTCGACCGGAAGAGGTGCGTTCTCGACCCGCGAATCAAAAAAAAAGTTTGCGCGCCCCCGATCTCGGGTCTAAAAGGGGCCCTCGAGGGCTCCCTTTCTGCAGCCCTCGCTGCCCCTTCATTGATCGCCCGCCTATGGCTTCGCGCCCAACGCTCGCGCCGAGCCTCCCGAGGAAGCGAGGAGGTACTTAGGGAGGTGGTGAAGGACGAGGGATGAGGACTGATGGGTTCACGGGGAGGTGGGCGAATGAAGGATGGGAGTGCGATCCAGCTGGCCGAAGTTTTTGGGCCTGAGGTCGGTCAAGCTGACCACGGTGGGTCCCAGCTGGGCGAT